TCTCGTTTCAGGGCGTTGATTTCTGCCCCGGGCAGAACGTGTCAGGAGTCACCACCCACACGCAGGAGGAGCACACGAAGCTGCCCCTGATTTTCCACCTGGGACGAGACCCGGGGGAGAGGTACCCCCTCAGGTGAGCCAGGGGCGGAGGCCTTCGGGCTGCCGGGGCCCCGGGCCGGCAGGTGTAGGCACTGACTGGCGGGCCGCGCGCTCTGAGCTTTGCTCTCCGCCCCCCCCCCCCCCCCCCCGTGCTCCCATCCCCCTGCTGTCTGGCTCCCGCCCCCACGGTCCGCGTGGCCCCGTCACAGGGCCCCCAACCCGAGCTGCCTTTTTGATGGCAACAGTGGGGGGCTGGGGGCCCGGGCCCGGGCGGCGCCGGCCTGGGAAGATCCACCCTGGGCCCCTTCACCCTCCGGGCCGGGACCACGCTCCTCCCAGTGAGACTCCAGGATGAGTCGCTTCTTGGGACCTTGGTCCGGCTTAGAGGCCCGGGATCACGGGAAGGAAACAGATAGGCCGTGGGTGAAACCACGTGCCCCACGTCTACCTGCAGCAGAACCTCCTGCGTGGTCTTATTGGCAAGAGGGACTCTACAGAGGTGATCGTGGTGAGGGTCAAAATGAGATCACCCTGGATTAGGATGGCCCTAAATCCAGGGAGAGTATCCCTGGGAGACAGAACGGGATACGGACACGGGAGAGGCCACGTGGAGATGAAAGCAGAGGTGAGGGGATACGGCCACAGCCAAGGGACACCCGGAGCCCCCGGGAGCTGGACGAGGCAGGAAGGGCCCTCCCCTGGAGCCTCCGAGGGGGCACGTCCCGCCTGTATCTCGGCCTCCAGCCCCCAGAACTGGGAGGGAAGAGACTTCTGTCGTCAAGCCCCCTTCCGCGGCCACCGGTTACTGTAGCTCCAGGACACTCACTGGTGGGAGCTGGGAGCCCCTTACGGCTGTCACACGCCAGGGAGGTCAGGAGCCCAGGGCCGTGTGCAGGTGGGGGTCGAGGATCAGGCTCAACCAGGGGGAGGCTCGGAGCAAGCAGTCTGAGCCCCGCTCCTGACCCCGGAAGTAACTTCAGAGCCAAGACGCAGCAGGACCACGGGAGCAGGTGGCAGGGCCCAGCATCGGGAAGAGCCGCCCACCGCACCTCTGCTCCGCCTGCAGCGGCCTTGACCAGCTCCTGGTCACCCGGAAGTTACGTGCGTCAGTGTGCACCATCCCCTCGGGCCCTTGTGCCCGTGCTCCCGACAAGGAGACCCAGACCCAGGGTGGGACACAGTTCTGGGAAGAAGAGCCTGGAGCCACCGCCTGGCCCAGAAGGGCTCACGGGCAGACTGAGGGGCCTCCCGGGCTTCCCACGTGCGCTGGCACCACGGTGCCGAGTAAACTGACCAGTCAGCCTGCTGAACATGGTTTAAGCCGATCCTTTCCAGTGCATTTGGCCAGAATCGCGGAGACCTGCTTTGAGAAGCTTGTGGGTCTGCCCCCGCTACACGGATCTGGGCCAAAGGGACCAAGAAGGTGGGGAAGGTGCCAGGAGCCTGCCAGATCTGGGTCTGCTCGGAGGTGCCCGTGACCCTGGCGGTGCCCTCGGTGGTGCCGGCCAAGGCTCAGGCCCGGCGGAGTGGGGCAGGAGGCCTGGCTGCTGTACTGTCACCTGGCTGTGCCTGCGGCCTCGTTTGTAGGGAAGGTTCCCCGAGGTGCACGCCTGCCGCGGGCCAGTGGCTCCAGCAGGGACGGCTCCTTCAGTCCCCAGTCCCGTTCCTGGCCTACTTGGGTGGCCTGCCTCGGCCTGCCCGGGCCTCCCTGCTTCTGTGACCTGGCGCTCTCACCTCTAGCTTTGCCAGCGCGGAGTACCTGGATGCACTTCGTGGGATCACCCCGGTCGTCCAGCAGCACCAGAAGGCCTTGGTCCCCGGACAGCCTCAGCTCAACGTGTGCAACCAGGCGGTCATGGTAAGTGGCTGGCAGGCCACGGGCCGCCGGTGCCGGGGGTGTCCCGAGGGCCCCGTGAGGTCTGCACCCCCCAGGGCATCACCATCCTCCCCCCACGGAGCCGTCTGGGGCCGCCGTGAGTTCCAGCAGCCGGGGTGATCCCTGGGCAGCGTGGCAGGACCCCGGCAGACCGCACGTCTCCAGAGGCTGCCAGAGCCCCCCTGTGGCTCCCGCTCAGGCCTCACAGGTGTGACCGTTGTGCACGACAGAGACGCCAGACCCGTGTGGGGCAGGGACATGCCGGGCTGATGACCTGGAGGTCCCGTCGGGGACAGACCTTGGCTCCTGCGGGACCTGCCTGCAAGTCCTGTCCCTGTGACGGAACGTGTCTGTGCGCGCCCTGCTCCACAAAGATGGGCGATCAAGTGTCCCGGTGTCGGCAGCACCCCGAAACCCACAGAGCACCGTCGGGATGGCTTAGCCTGGCTTCCCGGGCTGTCAGCCCCTCCTCCCAAGCACCCCATTCCCCAGACCTACCACGTGATTTTGAGGAAGCTGTGGCCTGGAGCCCAGCAGGCTTGGGGGAGTCAAAGTGCAGGGTGGGGCCGACAGGGACAAAGCGTGCCGACCTTTCCTGGCGGCGAGAATGATCGTAGTGCGGACAAGGCTGCCTCATCAGCCAGGGTCAGTGCAGGGGTGGTTTTGTCGCTGTTGTCCCCGTCTGGGGCTGTGTGTCCTGAGGCTTCCCAAGGAAAGACACTCGGGGCAGGAGCCAGCAGGGCCGCCTCCTTCCCTCGAGGGCGCCGGGGGCTGTCCGGCTTCTGAAGTCACAGCAATGGGGCAGGAAGGTCCCCGTTTCAGGACCACCATGGAGCCTTGGGTCCCAGGAGCCTGAGAGCCCCCCTCACGCCCCGCCCACAGAGGAGCCACGGTGCCCACTCCAAGCCCCGGCCTTAATCTTTCTGTGCAAGCCAGCTGCCCCCACCCGCCACATGCTGTCCACTGGGGAATGCTGTGCAGACACACACTGGGTCTTAGGGTGGCAGCGTCCTTTCCCACCGCCTGGGGGTGGAGGGACCCGGCTGGGGCACTGTCGCAGCTGGCTGCCCCTGCACTGGGGTGAGGGTGACCCTCTCAGCCCCACACACCCCACGAGTGAACCGAAGACAGACTGGAGCTGTGTGCAGTGGCCCCCAGACACCCAAGGGAACACTGCCTCTGGAACACTGCATGGATCTACACGCCTGTGCAAAGCCCTTGGCCCTCGCCACACCCTGGACGGAGGGGAGGTCCTGCCTTCTGCCCTCAACCCCCAGCTCAGCCCTGCCTCCACTCTGTCAGGCCAGTGGGGACGAAGATTCGATGTGGTGTCTGTCCTCTGACAAGATCAGTCCTGTACAGCCCTTGAGTAGAGCCTGCTGTCGTGGTACACATGAGACACCAAAGTGCCTTTAAGAATCGTGGGTGCTGGCTCCTCCTGGCGCCCCAGACTGGCAGTCTGCACCCAGATTTTCCATTCTGCACACCCTGTCGCTTTGCTCTGCCTCAAAGGTTGAGAAGAGCTGCTTTCTCCAAAGCTTGCCCTGTCCTGGTGGCTGGCCGCACCCTGCATGGGCAACCAGGGGGCCATGTGATGCCATCTGGGGCAGGAGGGGACTTCCCCGGCGTTCTCCCTGCCATCGAATCTCTGATTCAGTAACACCCTCTGGGGCCCCCTCTCAGAAGAGTGCCCCCAGCATGATTCTGAGTCTCCCTACCAAGGCACAGGAGCACCCCATGGGCAGTGGGAGGACACAGAAAAACAAGGGAGCCTCCCTCTCTGGCGGGTGTCTCTCGCTGGAGAACTATGGCCATAAAGAGAAAGTCTGGACGTGAATACGCATGGCCAAGTTGCCACATTGAGTCGTTGTGCTGAGACAGGCCAGCTCTTCCCCAGGTGACGGCTTTCTGTAGAGAACCTTAAGGCTGTAAGGAGTCTCCTCTGTTAGCCCTTCCTGAAATGTGGCACTACGGCGGGGACAGGTGGCAACCTGGCCCGTGGCCGCCCATGCCCTGGACCCTGAGGCCAAGGAGGCGATGGGGCAGGGCAGGAGTCTGACACTACTGAGCCTAGAAGTGTTAAGAGTAACTCAACGTTCTCTCTTAATTCTCCTTGCCAGAATTGGGCGCCCCCAGGCTGTGAAAAGTTAGGGAAGTGCCTGACACCCCCGGAGTCCATCCCGGAGAAGTGCTTCTGGCCCCACTAGCACCTGCTCGTGTTCCAGCCAGACCTGGGCTCTCCTATTGGCCCTGCAAATGCCTGCGGGGAGGAAGGCTCTGGCCTCAGGGCTCCTGAGCTGGAAGAGCCCCAACTGTTCTCTGCCCTGCCTGCGCCAGACAGACATTACCTACAGGTGACAGCAGGACCTGCACGTGCCCGCAGTCTCCCAGCCCTCCTCCTGGCCCACCCCAACTTGCCACGGTAGCCCATAGCCTCGGCCCAGCCCCAAAGCTGAATGCACTTGCTCAGGGCCCTGCCTCCATCCCGGGATCCAAAGGCGGAGCCGTCCCCTCCCATGTGTGAGTCCCAATGTCAAAGTTGGCCATGCCAATCCTGCTTGAGCCCTTGGCACCATCCTACTAGGAGGGAGTTGTGAATGTGGAAGGGGGTTTGGCAGCAGCCAAGGAAGGCCTCCCTGGTCCGGTGAGGACAGAGGGATGCTAGCACCTTCGTTTTAACACCTACCTTAGGGATGCTGTCCTGGTGCCCTGCATGGCAAGCGGGTGCCTCCCTTCCAGCCGCCCGTTACCTGGTGTGGCACGGTGCGGAGAGACAGCGAGCGGGTGTGGACGCCAACCTTACCCGCCCCGAAGGCGTGTGGAGCCGCCTTCTAGTGGGGTTTTCACGTCTCTGCCGTTGTGATGCCAGAGCTGTACCGTTCTAAGACTTGGGAAATGATGGTGAAAAGTTCTAGAATAAAGTTAACAGGCCTTTTTCCTTTTTTTTTTTTTTTAATAAGGATTTGACCCTTTGCGGAAGTGGGCGGGGTGGGTTTCCCTCTGCCCCGCCCCGTCGCTGATGCCGGGGGTGGCCCCGGCACTCCCAACTCCCGCGCGCTCCCGGAGGGTCTGGCGGAGCCGGCCCGTCCCCTCCAGGGCTCGGCACCCCCGCTGCAGTCCCCGTCCACCGGCGTACTCCTGCAGGGGACGCTCGGGCTGGGCCCCTCATGTTGGTGGCCGCGCGCGTCCGCCCCTCGCACCGCGCGGTAGAAGAGCGAGCGCGGCGGCGGCGACGAGCCGGACGGGGCGCGCCTGTTCAGGGCGCTAGAACAACAACGCGGCACCCAAGATTCGGTGGAATACGGTAGTCTCTGCGGGCGACGGCGGCCCCGCCCACTGGCGCCTAGCGTAGGCGCCCCGCCCGCTCGCGCAGGCGCAGAGCCGCCGGCGCACCCCTGCCGCTCCCGGACACGCGCTCATCCCGCGCTCACCCCGCGCTCACCCCGCGCTCACCCCGCGATGGCGGACTCCGACCTGCAGCTGGTGGCGCGGCGCATCCGCAGCTTCCCGGACTTCCCCGTGCCCGGCGTGCTGTTCAGGTGCGGAGGCGGGCGCGGGGCGGGGCGGGGGGGCGACCGCGCGGGGCCTGGCCAGCGAGCCCGCCGTCCCCGTGCGGGGCCCGGACCCGACCCCGACGGTCACCAGGCCTGCCCTCGCGTGCCAGGGATATCTCGCCCGTCCTGAAGGACCCCGACTCCTTCCGCGCGTCCATCCGCCTCCTGACGAATCACCTGAAAGAGACCCACGGCGGCAAGATCGACTACATCGTGGGTAAGTGGAGGGGGCAGGGGCGGGTCCTCGAATCCCAGGTGGACCCTCCCCGGGCCTCCTGCCTGCCCCCGGCGCCGATGCTGTGCCCTGGGGTGTCTCGAGAGGCCCGGAGAGGTCGCCGGGTCTGTGCCAGGCTCCGCGAGGGTACCGTGGGCGTTCCTCCCCCCTGAGCCCTGAGCGGCGCGGACGGAGGGGCGACCCACGTTAGCTTAGGAGAGGCTTGGGGGGCGTCCGTCGGGGACACGCTGAACGTCGCACCGTGCTTGGCTGCCGACCCTCGAGTAGGCTGTAAGGATGAACCTGCTGAGCGGCACTTGGCCGCCTGAGGGTGGGCGCGTCTTTGCGGTGGCCGGCTGAGGGCAAGGTCACCCCATCGCCGTGCCCCTCGCTCTCGCCGACTTCCTGGTCCTCCGTTCTGGACTGGTGGGGCTACGGGCTGAGTATCCCCAGGGGTGTCTGACCAGAGTCCACTGGGCCAAGAACACTCTTGTTGCCCGTCTGTGTGTTGAGCTGCGGGCCAGGCCCTCTGCCCAGCACGGGGCTTCAGGGAGGACCCCAGCAGGCCAGGTCTCCGTGACAGCGCCATGCCCCGGCCCTCCCATGGCTCCCCGCTGCCCTGCGGGACCATGGCTTTTCACTTGACTGTGTCCTTCAGAGGGTTCCATCCTCTGGAAGCCCTCCCTCGCGGCACCCATAGGGGGTGGGGCCTGCGCTTCTCGGTGAGTGACCGCGGGAGATAGCAGGCGATAGCCCGGGGCCAGCACCTCCAGGGCAGATGCTGCTGCAAGAATGACAGGAGCCGTCTGAGTCCGCTCCTTAGTTATTAGCAGCCCGGTGACAGGCTGGCGGCAGGGCTGTGGGGAGAAAGCAGGTAATTTCCCTGAGGCCACACAGTTATTTCCGCTTCTGGGTCCCCGGCTCCTGCCCTGCAGCACCCGGCAGGCTCTGTGCACAGAGGTAGGTGCTCAGTCAAGGACTTTTAGCTGGAGCCAACAAAGCCAGGGGCTTCTTGCCATTGTCCGGCACTGGCCCCTGGGGACCCTCTTGCTCCCGTGCCACACAGCCACCCCTGACACCCCACCTCTGACCAACAGGCCTAGACTCCCGAGGCTTTCTGTTCGGCCCCTCCCTGGCCCAGGAGCTTGGCTTGGGCTGCGTGCTCATCCGAAAGCGAGGGAAGCTGCCTGGCCCCACGGTGTCCGCCTCATACACGTTGGAATATGGGAAGGTGAGTGGGCTGGGCACCGCCACCCGTGACCCTTGGGCTTCCTGAGGATATCCCCTGGGTCGGGCGGGTGTAGCTGCCGCGGCTGATGCCAACTCTGCCCGAGACGTTGCTCACGCAGCCAAGCGGCAGCTGGGTGGGTTGGGCTCTCGTCGGCACCACCTCCCAGGCTCTGCACACCAGGGCCGCGTCTGGAGACGTGCAGACCGAGTGCCTGCTTCCCATCTGCAGGCTGAGCTGGAAATCCAGAGAGACGCCTTGGAGCCAGGGCAGAAGGTGGTCGTCGTGGACGATCTGCTGGCCACTGGGGGTGAGGGTCTCCCCCCCCTCCCCCCGGCAAACAGGGCCTGGCGCTAGGACTGCTGGGGGTGCAGGAAAGTGGCTCGGCCCACGTGTGAGACGTGGGTTGGGGCCTCGGCACTGTACAGTTTACGCGTGAGCGGCAAGACCCTGTGTGGGCAGGTGGGAGCCTCCTCCCCATGCCACCTCCTCCGCCTCCCCGCCCCCCGGCTGGGTGGGGCCTCATTGTGTGCCCTCTGCCGACCCACTCAGGAACCATGCATGCGGCCTGTGAACTGCTGGGCCGGCTGCGGGTGGAGGTGCTGGAGTGCGTGAGCCTGGTGGAGCTGACCTCGCTGAAGGGCAGGGAGAAGCTGGGGGCCGTGCCGGTCTTCTCTCTTCTGCAGTACGACTGACCCACCCTCCCCCCTCTGGCCGAGAGGAGTTCCTGCCTCCTGGCTGGCCGATGGCCGCCAGGGGGCACTGGCCACCCGTTTGGACTTTTTTTTTTTAACTTTTTTGCAGTTGCCTTTTTCTACCGCCTGGGGCCCTTCCTGCAGGTTCTGGAGGTGCCGAAGCCTGGAGCCGGTAGCTCAGGCCGGAGCCCCGGCCACTGCAGGGCCACCTACAAACACTGAAAAGAGGTGAATAAAGTGCTTTGCTAGAGTGGCTGTTCTTTATCCGGGGCCAAGAGGTGCGGGAATCCCACTTGGCGGGTTGGGCGGGCATGTGTCTGGCATTCTGTGGCTCTCTGCTCCCGGCTGCCTCTCAGGAGGCAGGTGCTGCCCAAACGGCCTCTCAGTTGCTGTGGTCAGTCACGCCAGCAGGGTGGCTCGTGACACTGTCAGTGGAGTGGGGCTGGCTCCTGAAGGTTCCAGGAAAAATTGGGCTCCGGGCCCCCCCGGCATCCCTCAGTCCTGCGGTCCGCCTCCCTCTTGTACGGGTCCAGCGGTGACACCGAGCTTACTGGGTCACCAGGGATTCCCATGCGGACACATCGGGGGCATTGTGCCAACCACCTCACCCAAGCTTGCACAGACTGCAGAGCCACCCCACTCCACTACGCCCCCAAAGACGCCAACGATGACAGTCGCCAACAGAAACCAGTTTAATGACACTATTCTGCAAGAGGGTGGGCCCACCACCCGCACTGGCCGGGGACCCTGGTGGGGAGTTAGGAGGAGAAGAAAAGTGCGTTGTGTTCCTAAAGGGAATAAAAGAGACCCGGCAGGCCAAGGACCTAAGCCCAGGCCCGCGAGGCTCACAGTGCCGCCTCGGCACGGGCAAGGTGGGCCAGCCGGGCGAGGACACCTGCCAGGTCAGCAGCCTTGTCCAGCTTGACATAGGTGTCGGTGCGGACGTGGTGGAGGCTGAGCCAGTCGGGCAGCAGCTCAGAGAGCAGCTGTACGTGCTTCTCCATCTCCCCTGCAGACAGACAGGATGTGAGCAGGGCCGTGCGCCTGGGAGGGGGTACTGACCCCTTATGGGGGGGGTCCAGACCAGTCAGCGGGCCTGCCTTAGGACCAGCCCCCCGCCCCGCCCCGCAGGCCTGTCCAAGCCTCCAAGCAGCAGACCCACTGGTGGGAAGGTGGAAGGGCTCGGGCCAGGGCAGTGACAGAATGGCCTTGCTGAGGAGCTGACCCTCCCACCGAGCCCAACACCGGGCCTGGAGGGGGGAGGGGGGAGGTCGCCCTGCGGCCTGGAGGGAACCCACGGTCCCGTGGGGCCCGGCGCTGTCTGAGGGGGTCTGGGGGCCGGGTGGGGGCTCGAGGACACCGTGCCCAGCCTCATCCTGAGCGGGGAATACAGGGAGGGGGCACAGGGAGGGCCCGGCCCCGCCCCTGCACACACCAGGGCTCAGGGCCGCACGGTAGCTGCCCGCCATCCTGGCGCAGGCCACCTCCATGGTGAGGGCGGGCTTGCGCTCCGACACGAAGACGCCACGCAGCACGCGGGCCAGCTCGGGCAGCCGCTCCAGCCGCTGCAGCCGCCGCTCCTGCTCCGGCTGCCGCGTCATCTGCGCCAGCTGCTTCTGCGCCTGCTTGCAGCGGATCTGCGGTAGGCCCCGAGAACGGTCAGCGGAGAGCCGGTCCCACGGGCCCCTGCCAGGACCCCGGACACTCACCCGCTCCAGCAGGTCCTGGGACACCCCCTTCAGGGCGGCAGGCGGGGTGGCCGGCGGGGTGGCCGGCAGGGCAGGGCCGGGGGACCCGGGGCTGCCGGACTTGGCCGTACGCAGAGCCAGGTCGCTCAGGGCCTTTTGCATCTGAGGCAGTTCAGAGGGGAGAATCAGAAGGCCCCCCCACCCGGCCCGGCCACAGGGAGGTCGCCGTCTGCCGACCCAGGCTCACCCTGAGCGTCACGGCAGGTGGCCGGTGCCCAGGGCGCAGCCTGCCAAGCAGGCAGCGCTCCGTAAGGGGGGAGGGCACGTCCCACCAGCCCGGAGGCACATGGCCAAGGATGGAGCCTGTCGGGTGCCCGCCCCGCAAGCCCTAAGGCGGCCTCACCCTGGGTGACATCAGGCTGCGGGCACGGGCCAGCACCTCCTGGGCGGTGGCCAGCTTCTCCGTGGTGGGGGGCTGGGGCAGCTCAGCCGGCTCGATGTCAGGCACTTCGTCCACATTGAAGTGGGGGTGCCAACGTGTCAGCTGGTCCTCAGGCACCACCATGGGCGGGTTCAGGGAGGCGAGGAAGGCCTGTGTGAGGAGACGCGAGTGCCAGGTGAGCCCAGGCACATCTGCATTGGGCGGGGGGGGGGGGGGGGGCGGGGCTGCTGCGTTCCTAGCCCGCCCAGTCGGGCCATCTTGGGCTCAGGTGCTCAGCTGGGCCAAAGGGCACGACACCCGGCACAGAGCAGCACTGAGCCCATCACGCGCCCCCAGGGCCTGAGGCTGCAGCCCTGAGCTCCCGGCCCTCCACTGGGGAACCAGGAGCGGGGCTCTCGCCCAGCCCTGCACCCACCCCACGAGGCAGCCACGGAGACGGGTGAAGAGAACTCGAAGAGTCAGCCTCTCATGAGGGCCCGTCTCCTGAGGGGTAAGACGGAGCTATGACAGGGACGGTTTCGGGGCCCAGCCCAGGGCCTGCCGGGGAGGTGCTTCCTCCGAGGACGGAGCCGGTAACCTCCATCACTCACCCTGTGATGCTCCCGGACGCGCTCCACCAGATTCTGGCCGAAGACCTGTCTGCGCCGCAGGAGGTGCGAGGCCGTGAGCTGGGGAGCCGTGCTGCCAGCCTCTGCGGGAAGACTTCAGGCCTGAGACCCCGCCCGGGCCCGCCCCGTCACCCGGGCCCGCCCCGTCACCCGGGCCCCCAGACTGCTGGTCTCCGACGCCTCACGCCACACCCAAAATCACACAGCGTCACTGGCGGGGAAACCGAGGCTCGGACACGCATGACCTCAGTCAGAGCGCGCTCACCCTGGTCTAGCAGCGGCTCGATGGTAAGCTGGTAATCGGACCTCTTGACGCCGTCCTTGAAGGTGGGGACGTTGCGCTCCTGGCGGAAGCGGTAAGAAGCGGGGTACACGGTTCTGATCTGGCCCACGTTGCGCTCCTCGAAGCGCCTGCGGGACAAGGTGCTGGGTCAGAGCGCGCCGGGAAGGGCACACTCAGACCGTCCGGGCAGGGTGAGGCCCCCACCCTCTGCGGGCCACTCACTTGCGCATCATGTCCTGGACGCCCTGCTTCACCTTGGCAAAGGTCGCGGTCTCGGAGCGGTTGTAGAGCATGCCCACGATGGTGTCCATGCTGCGGAACATCTCGGCCAGCACCTGGTACTTGTAGGGCAGCACAAGCCCCGGGGGCCCCGGCTGGGCCAAGGCGTGGAAGCGCTGGTAGGCGGGTGCCTTCTGTGCGCTGCCAGGAGGGGAGCGAGGCCTCAGGAGAGGCACCAGACCCACACCCTCCAACACCGACGGCAGGCAGGCCAAATGGCCAGGGAGACCCCGGAGCCGGGGCCTGAAAACCGTCCCTGTTCCCGTGACACACCACACACCAGTCCCAAAGCCCCGGCGCGCCCGGTCTCCCGTCACCAGCACTAGGGCTGGAACCAGAAAAGCGTGGCCTCACATCTCGCCCGGTCACCTAGGGAAGTCCTGGCTCCTTATCTCTACGAGGCACATATGACCTCAGGAGCTGGGGAGGACAGACATGGGCGCAGGAGACAAATACCCAACAAATGGCAGCTGTAGACGGCATTCCAAAGTCACAAGGGCCACTGAGGCAAGAACGGGCACCCTCTTATGGATGGAGGCTGAGGTGCAGAGCAAGTGAGTGGCAGGGACTGGAAGGGGAGCAGCCCCCCCAGCCTTGTCCCGCCTGCCACCTTCCCACCAGCCTAGCCTTTCCCTGGGTGCCTGTCTGCCCACCCAGGACTCACCACGGCCCTGCTGGCTGCCCCTGGTCCTCCAGCACGCAGGGTTCCCCCGAATCCTTCCTCTGGGCACTTGCTTTCAGCTCCTGGGCCCGGGCCCCTAGCTCCCGTGCCCGCTGTAGGCACGACTTGAGTTCAGAAAGTGTGACTTTTGAGGAGGCCTGTGGAAACCAGATGCCATCAGCTGGCCCGTCACCCCCACACCACTCTCCCTCCCCCCGGGGCCAGCCTCACCTTGTCCTCCTGGGCTGCCAAGCAGGGCAGCTGACCTGCTGAGAGAGTGGCCTCCTCTGGGGAGCCTGGGGCGGCCAGGGCACTGGGGCTCGAGACCTGGTGGACAGGACCGCAAAGGAGAAGGAGTGAGGACACCCTGCGGTAAGAGAGGGTTTCCTACTTCCCTCAGCTGGCTACACACCAGCTGCTGGGGGCATCAATGACAGTTTCTGCTGGAGTCAAGTCAGAGGGGCCAGGCCTGACCCCTTGCCCAGCCTTGCTGGCAAGCTAGATACGCAGCCGCCCACTGCGCTCGGGCCCTCCGGCCCTGCTAACTCCAGTACCTTCTGTCCCCACCCCCACTGACGTGCTCTCCAGCGGGCCGGCCCACCCGCCGGGTCTCAAGTGACCCGGCCCCGCGCTTTCTCTACTGTCTCCCACAGCGGCTCCAGGCCCATTCTCCGAATGGTCGAGTCCTCCCTCTCGAGGCTTCGGTTTACCGCGTGCATGCAACCCCCTGGTCCGCGCCCTCCCTCCAGGGCAAGTCTTTTTGTGGGCCACCCCGCCCTGTTTCCCGGCTCTCCCCTCCAAGTGTTTTCTCCCGTCGGTGCTCATCCACTCACCCCGCCCCCCGCCCCGGCCTCAGTTTCCCCCCTCTCCCCGCCGCGGCCTCACCGTGTCGGCCGGTAGCCGCAGCCGCCTGCGCGCGGGCGGCGCGGGGTGGTCG